GCGCCAGGGTTAGGGTTAGGGTTAATGCTGCTGTGCCCGACCTTCTCTCCCACAGCCAGCCCGATCTCCTCCACAGTGCATGGGAAGCCGGCTGAGATTTTAATGCTTTGCTTCCTCGTGAGTTTGGCAAACTCCCCATTTAACATGGCGTCAGACGCCGGCCGGCGAGACACCGGCAGGAGAAGCCTACAAAACACCCCAAAAACACCACCAAAAAGCACGAAAAGTAAAGCAAATCAAACCACCACCGATAAACTATATTAAATGAACACCCATTACACAAAAATAAACGGAAAATATAACGAAAAAAGTCTTGCTCTTCTCTTTCTCTCGCACTCCAAAACCTCCCAGCTTGCACCAGAAGAAGAGGAAGAAGAGGAACAAATAATAATCCCTGTTTCCACTCTGTTTTTTATACAAGCACATGCTACTGCGAGGGCGTCCACCCCGAGAACGGGGTGGGGGGGGTTGGATTTTGAATTGAGCCGTCCCTTATAGATACTATCTCTTTACGTTAGTGAGCCGGATCGTTTGCCTCGGCTCTCCAAAGAAGTGCCGGCTGTTTCGGCTCTAACAGAGGGATGTCCTTGTCATTTTTCCTTTTCGTAATTTCAAGCGATAAAAACTCTCGATCTTTCTCTCGAATTATAATTTTTTTTTACGCGTTCCCTCAAATGACGCCAAGACGCACCCCTGGCAGAAACGCTGCTTCTTATACAGGTACATATTATACAATGACACTGTTCTAGCGTTAAACGCTGAATAAAGAACATCAAGCTATGTGCTGTATCAGAAACAATGCACAACGTGTTTTGGAAGTAATATGGTCTGTGTTTACATTAGCAAGCATCGCTAACACTCAGCTAACGCTGTACTGGAGAGTGTTGTGTTCAACATTCCAGGAAAGACAGACGACTTCTAAGTTTAACTATTTATTATGAGAGAGCAATAGATATATATATATATTCACTTGGCCAAGGACTCACGTCATAGAAATCACTTACAGCAAAGCTGTAATCTGTCAGTCTTTTTCCGGACAAGAGCCTCAAACCTCGTGCGTGCGTGCATTTTTATTACATAGGGCGTGCCCGTACATTTATGATTAGTGAAGACTAGCTGAAGAGGTACCATGGTTTAGACTTGGTTCTCTTTGGTAGTTGCGCAGACTTAGAAAAAAGTATCTTGGCGACACGATCATCCAATCAGCATTCGGCCGGCCTGTGGAAGTCCCTCCCTACTCTGGCGCCGTCATACGTAATTGTTTTTTTCTGAAGCTTTCTGCAGATATAGTGGAATCTTCATAATGCTGCTTCCTAGCTGTGTGTGGGAGCGAAGCTCCCATACAACTCAAGGCCGGAGTGATGTTCTGTTTATGAATAACTCTTTGTATTCTTTCAGTGTCTGCGCCTGATCTTGCTACTCTGTATTGCAGGCTGAAGACGTCTATTTATTCCAAAGTCACAGCCACACAAATGAGCACAATAAACTTATAATGTAATAATAAGAATCAGTCTTTCTAATGTTATATAAAAATAGCCTCCACAAGAGAGTATGTGTAAAAAAGCCGGATATAACAGGTACTCACCTTGTGGTAAACCCGCAAGAAAGAAAGCATTTGAGCTCCATACTGTTTCAGAAATAATGCTTGATGTGGTTTGGACATTGATAGTTATGGCCCTATAATATATTGTTCAAATATAGTATTATGTGGGATCCTTAATGCATTGTAACCTATTAATTAATCCACATTCTGTTATTGATGTGTGGTTCTGTTATGCAGGGAGCTGAAGCACCGGGCTGTCCAACATCCCAATGAACCCAAGTTCCAGATCCATGAGTACATTGAAGCTCAGAAGGAGAAGTCCGGCTGCTGCAGCTACATCTGAGTCTCTCTGCTTCTGAGTGGGAGGAAGCCCCATGAACTAACTGAAGCTCCTAGAATATTCTGCTGCCATCCTTTCACAAGATAAACCCAGCTACACTCACTTAGCCCATGGTTTGCTTTAGCCGAGAGCTTTTTACCCCAGGAACATGTTCAAACTTTGCCTGACTTAGCATACTCAGCCATAACCACACTCTAACTGAAAACAAATCCAATTTAAATTAATGTTCTTATATAACTAATTACATCATTAATGCTTTTTTGAACACAGTTTTTTTGTGTTTGCCTTACATAGAACTCAGAGTAAAAGTTTTTTTACCTAATTTAATGTATCATAAAAATTGTGTTACAAGACACCACTCTGCCAAAGTGCAAGAAAGCTTCAGGCAGTTTGATAAACCCACAGACTTCTGGCACAGGCCAGAGGAGCACACAGTCTTAGGCAGATCAGTGGGGATCAGCCTTGAAACATTTACAATTGTACAACCGTGTGTATTATGCAATCTACAGACAGACACACAAAGGCCATAGATGTAGTTCAAAGACATCCCCTTGAACGAAGCCCTGTCTGTTAATGACGTACATTCTGTTTTGATGAAGTGACAGTCAGCTGTTGAACGCTGGCTGTGAGGAGAAACGCTCAGGGACAACGATGCAGGAAGCTAACATGCTCTAACAAGCCAGAAGAGTAAGAGCAGCAACTGCTTCTCAACATGCAGAGGAACCCAAATGTTCTGGTCTCCTGAAACATGTCACTCGCAGAAGATTGCTGCATAGGACCATAACTTGGATCTCCAGTTTTGCCTAATAAATGTACAGATCATATTGTGTTTATATATTGTGAGTGAGTGAGGCGAGAATTGACAATGTCTTGTAAAATGTTGTCCGCATTACTTACCTTCCTGTGTGTGTGTGTGTGTGTGTGTGTGTGTGTGTGTGTGTGTGTGTGTGTGTGTGTGTGTGTGTGTGTGTGTGTGTGTGTGTGTGTGTGTGTGTGTATGTGTGTGTGAGATATATATTCTTCATAATGGCTAGCCTCCAGCTCAGTGGGGCATGGAGCATGGCTTGTGGTGCCACAGTGACAATGACATTTGGACACAGCCAGAGCTGGCTTTCTCGTTTCTTTCTTTATTCTCAATTTACTGAAGGCTTTGTGAAAAATATAGACTGGAAAAACAGCTGATCTTGACATTTGAGATGTATTTTTTCTACAAATGTAATATACTTCATGTCATAGTAATTAATTTCAACATTTAATTTGTTATCATTATTATTGTCAATTAATC